TGGGATCTTCCATTCCATAATAGTTCAAATTTTCTTAGGATCTATCATAAGTTCATCATTTAAAATGATGTATCCTAAGAAGTCAACTTGAGTAGTGTAGAATACACATTTTTCTATCTTGGCATAGAGTCTCGTATCTCTTAGTTTTTGTAACACACAACGAATATGAAGTTCATGTTCTTCTATGTTTTTAGAATAGATTAAGATGTCGTCTAGGTAACAGACAACAAAATCATCTAAAAAATCTTGAAAGACATCATTTATTAGATGTTGGAATGCTGCTGATGCATTTGTAAGTGCAAAAGGCATGACATTGTATTTGAAATGTCAATACCTTGTTCAAAACACAGTCTTCCATTCATCTGTTTCTTTGATGCATACTAGATTGTATGCTTCTCATAGATCTATTTTTGTATAGATCTTACCTTGATTTAATTGATCAAAGAGTCCAAATATCAAAGAAAGCGAATACCTATTCTTGATAGTAATTTTGTTGAATCCTCGATAATCGACACACATTTACAATGATCTATCTTTTTTCTTCACAAATAAAATTGGAGCTCTTGGTGGAGATTTGGAATGGCGTATGAAGTTCTTGGCCAGATTTTCTTCAATATACTCCTTGAATTTAGTTAGCTCATTTCGTGATAAACTGTAGATTCATCCAAATGGCGATTGTGCTCCTTCTTGAAGGTCAATTGAATAGTCATAGGAACGATGTTCTGAAAGAGTATCTGCATTCTTCTTTTCAAATACATCTTGAAAATCTTGATATTGGTTTAGAATGCTACTTGAAGTCTTTCCACCAGTAGAAATAAGAGCGGCATAAATCTCATAAGATGATTTTTTTTTTGCAACATGCAAGAAAGCTCTTGCACCTACAAATACAAGTTTAATTGTATTAGACTTATGACTTTTTACTTGATTAATTATGTTCTTAGTTATACTTTCAGAAAAGTGAAGACTACGAGAAGTCTAATCTATTTTAGGATTATATTTTTCTAGCCATGATAAACCTAAGATGATTGGATTAGAGGGAGATCTAATGATATTAAATATTACAAAGCTACTATGACCATTAGTTGCTACTTCTATAGGAAGGATTTCATGAGTAACATCTTCTAAAGACAACGGACAACCATCTATGACTTCTACGTGAACATGTTTAATTTTCTTCACTAAAAATATGCTATGTCTTTTAGCAAATTCTTCATCTAAGAAACATGCTGAGGCTCTTGAATCTAACAAGACAGAGGCTTTGTAATGTTTAGGTCTTAGAATAACATTCATTGTAAAACAATGAGAGGGTTCTCAAGAGAAGATAAGACCTTTACTAGGTGTTGTACAAGGTTCCAGCCACACGGTTCCTATTGTAGTTGGATAAATTGGTTTTCCGACATGCTATCTTCTTTGATTGCCATACTTCTCATTTTATGGTTGTGTCATTTCTTTGGGCAATGTTGAGTAGTGTGCTCAAATTTTCCACAATATAAGTACAATCCTTTCTGACGACAACGAGTCTTTTCTTGCTAAGTAAGAGGTTTAAAATGTATCACATCAATTTACATATTCTCTACTTCCGAATGTATGTGTTGAAGAGATGTTGGTATTGCTATTAAATTATAGTAATGTTGTGGTCCACTTGTACGGTTCTCAGATCAAAATTTAAAAAGATGATTGTTGCTTTTCACAGTAAAGTTAATTGCTTGACTCAATGTTTGAGGATCAGGTAAGTTGAGCATTAATTTATAAACCTCATATTGTAATCCATAGAAAAATTAGCTAACAAGTTTAGCATCATCTCACTTGATATTAGTTCAAGTTGTCAAAATTGTGAAGCATACAATGTTATTGATTAATTGCCTTGATGCAAAACATGGATCTTGTTGGTTGCAACACGAATTGCATTATATTTTATATACATGGATCAAAACTTTGCCAAAAAACCGTTCAAATTATCCAATATTGGATTTTGTTGTTCAAGAAAAGATGAAAACCATGATAATACTGAACCTGAAGGAAGCGTACTAATGAATCTAACTTGCGATCTTAGAGTTAGATAACTTTGGGATTGAAGTTCAATCACAAGTTGTACTCTATTGATAAAACCTCTAAACTTTGATCTAGTGCCATCAAACTTCTCGGGTAGGACAATTCTTGGTTTTCTAACACTGAAAGGGTGTTCCACTATAGAAGAAGGGACATGATTTGGTACAAATGTTGAAGTAGCTCTAATCATTTCTATATCTTCACTTCTTGTCAATCTTGTTGCTCTTTGTGGTGGTAAATTGAATTGATGCATCACAAGTATTAATTCCCTCAATTGGTCTTACATTTGTACCATTGCACTCTTCATTTCAGTAAGTTCTCCCATAATAACACTTAGAAAAGAAAAGATATCTAATATTACTCAAGACAAATAGAAGAGAGGACTTGAGAACAAAGAAAATACTAAGGACAATATCAGTATAAAAGAGGGTAATCCGCAACTTCTAATATGCTTATGTCTTATCAAGAGAAAGGAGTAATCCATTCTTAATCAAGATTAGATAAAGCTCTGATATTATAAGTGCATTCTTGTCAATGTGTCAAGGACAAGAACATGATAAAAAAAAATAAACAAGAGAGACTTCTCTCAAAGAAAGATGAAAAAATAGAAATAACTTGATATGCATATTAAGAAAGAAATTAGAATGGCTATTGCCAAAAGACAAGAAAAACTAAAGAGCCTTGAAACTAGACTAGAAGCAAGAAAAGAGTTGACAAGAGTGAAGAAGGCTTCACTCTTTTGTCTATATATGCTATTTAATTAGGGGCTACATGGCAATGTTTCATAGGACCTTCAATATGTGTTAACTTTGCAGGACACATGCCTTGACTTACAAGGCAAGTTTTTCTACATGCGGGCCACATAGTTAGCTTGGTCTTCAAGCTAATAACATGTGTCGCACATGGCTAACTTGTTGACGTTGTTTCTAATCCAAAAAGTCAATGTAAGATACCTGTAAAGTCAAAGTTGCATCTATGAAGCTTCTAAAAAGCTTTTATAGCAAATACTATAGAATTAACTTACTTTTACTTGCTTTTATTTACTTCTATCTATTTATATATGTAATTATTGGCTTACATGCATATGTCCGTGACACCTTTTTCAACTTTAAGATCAATCTAAACTATGGAAGTAACCAATATTCTTTAAAAAAAATTTAAATTGATCAAATGATATTTCTTATGAAATATAGCAGTTGATAAGAAAAATGATTGTATGCTTAAAAATACAAAGAAATTAATCTCTGCTTTATACCTTTACAATATGGACCTATTAAATCCCATCAATATTGAGCTTTATGCAACTCTTAGCCTTCTACCTTCCTATTACCAAAAAGTAATCTAATACCCTCAATTATACAAGTCCTTAATGATTAAGTTTTAAATAGTACCATCAATGATATTATATTTGAGGAATTTATAAGTGAAGTAAGATAAGAAAATAATATATTCAAAAAAAAAAACAATGAATATTATGAAGATCATCAATTAATAAATGTCTTATTTCATCAAAAACCAAAGTCCAACTATAGAGCCTAAAGACTATATATTGCAAATTTGTACCTCTAGATTGTAGTGAGTAAATTATAGATAAATAAACCACAAGTAAAAAATTGGTCTAAATAGTATTTTTTATTTTTTTAAAATCTATAAGTTTGATAAATTTATCTTTTATGTGTATTATTAATAACTTAATTGATTTTAAAATTAGTGCTTATTTATTTGAAGTTAAATTAAATTATTTATTAAATACAATTAAAAATAATTATTCTATATTTATTACATCATAATATTATTTTAACTTAAGTATTATATTTTTTAAAGACAAGTTAAGCCAAAACATATCCAAGAATGGTTAAAAGGTGGTTGATTTGAAATATAAAAGATATTCTTGTATTATATATAAAGAAAACAATATATGTTTTTTCTTACAAAAGATAAAGCTATAATAAGATTAACATTAATCTTGTTAAAAACTTGTTAAACTTATTAAACTTATTTTTATTCACATTAAAGGTGGTTGTGAGGAATAATAATATAAAAAAATAAAAAATAAAACATCATGGATTACATCTCAAATGTTGTTGGTTAAACTGAAATGTATTTTAATTTTTTATTATACATATTAAAATACATCAGCCTCAGAAAACCTTTTTTAAGAGAACATAAAAGGTTTTAAAAAACTAGATAACTTTATGTAGAAAAATCCTAATAAAAATAAAAAATAAACTTTGAAAGATCGTAGAACTTTTTAAAGCTTCTGAAACTTCTATAAAATATTATAGAAGAATATTGAAGGTATAAAAAAAGTTGAGAATTTTAGAAGTTTCATGTAAAATAATAATGTTTAATAGCAAGATAACACCAACTGCCATATCTTCAAATGCAATATTTTTAAACAAGTCAAATGGATCATTCTTACCTATTCTAGATACACAAAAGTCATCGAAATTAATATATTATGATTCAGATTTTGAAAAAGTGTTATTAATCTCAAGAAAAAAGTTAAAATAATAATCATGAATCATTTTAATAGTCAATACAATGTAAACTTCAACATTTAGCTTGTACCAATTGAACATAAAATCTTAAGATGTAAATTTAGTAAATGAATTATTTACATGTTATTTGTAATTTTTTGAGAAGCGTATTAAAAACAAAAGCTGAACCGACAATTATATTTCATGCACTTGCTAAAACTGCTACAATTTTAAAAGAGTTTGAATTACTAAATAGAGCATATTTCAATAACAATTTTATACATAAGAGCTATTAATATATGGTTGTGAAAGTATATGGCTGGTCTTTTTGTATATTCAAATTGTCTAAATTCACGGATCCTCATTGCATTATGTTTTTCAATAAAACATAAAATAAAAATAAAAATATTGGTTTTACGAAGGAAATCATGCTAAAGGAGCCAACTTCATGCCATTTTTGAAGGACAAACATACGATAAAAATGAAAGTTACTTAACAAATCTGTGATAAGTTTTAGACGTTCTGCATAACAAATGAATTTTACAGGCTTCCCTGTCATACTGAAGTGATATATTCAATAAACAACCACCATGGCTACACACCTATTGTACAGGCTATGATCATCTGTGCATTATGAATTATACAAAAGAAACCGCACTAGAGAGACAAGGTAAAGACAGCACATTGTTGCACTATGGAATGCGAAAGCTTTTGCAGTGGATGCACATACGGCATGAAGCTTCACACCTACTAGAGCACGAGTTCTTTGAATCTCAGCAGAGCACGACACGACGCTGCGAAGACTTCATCAGTAAGACCCAGCATGAAGCGACAGTAGTTGGGTATCCCTGTCCAAGAGCTGCTGCTGATAGAAAGATCTGTGAACTTGAGAAGAGCATCTCGAATATTTTCACTGCATAGTGCTTCAGTGCTCTCCCCCTTCACACATTTGCCGTAAAATGCCGATGGGGTAGCCACCATGGATGTACCTCCCAAGGGTTCAACGACGTCCCAACCACATTCTTTTAGAAGCTGCAAGGGCAAGTTCCACAGGACGGTTACAACTTCGTGTTTACACCTTCATTTAATTCTGATAGCGACGGAATTAGAAACTAGACTTGAAAAAACATTCAATACTCTACATAAAGCTGATAATCTGATTGAACCTTGTGATATGACTCAGGTTTTTACAGATAGTATCAATCGTATCCTGCAAATGCCCAAAGCCACGAAGTTCTACGGTTCCAGGTATCCAAAGGCCTCTTTCCTGACGAGGTAAGTTCTCATTACCTTGCAGAGTTGCTCTGCTCGATGCTGCAGGATCTTCTTCTGCACCTCGAGACCTGCAACAAGATCATCAAATTTCTGACTTACCAGCAGTCCAAGCAACTTTTTTATGGAGTACTTCAGGGTTCCATGCGGCCGACTCAAGGTAGGTGCATCCTTGAAGGCTTCAATAAACACTGCGTCTGCAACAGCCGAAAAGCCAAACTCAATCCCTCCTGTCATAAGGCCAGTTGATAAGCCTCCTAAGATTGCAACAGCGTAGGTGGAATTCTCGGATTCAGTGCCAATTTGCTTGAGGTCCCACTTCCAGGAACCATTCTCACTGTACTCCAGCCCAGAGAAAGAGGTATTTAGTATTACCCGAGCCCCGTATTTCTTACAAATAGATAGGATCTCGCTGATCTCAGAGTTCGTGTAGAGTTGTCCAGTTGGATTGATGGTCGGGCCTGGAATGTACATCCATGGCTTCTTAATACCTGTCAAAAAAGAATCTATTTGCCCTGCAGTAGCTTTAAAGGAGTCAGAAACCTTAGTGGGTAATATCCTGAAGTCCGCCTCCAGAAACTTGGCGACCGAGACTAAAGTCCCACAGGAACCCATGGGAAAGACAAGAGTTCCGTTTTCCTCGACACATGCCAGAACCAACTTAGTGAAAAGGGAAGTAGATGTATCACTCAAGAAAATCTCCTTCGTATATGAATGAGGAACCCCAAATGTACTTTCCAAGTATTCAAGTATTTCCGGCCGTGGGTCTATCTCGTCATCCGAAATATTCTGTCGTGCGAAACCTTCAAAGACTGACACTTTGACTGCTGCAGGGACTTGGAGAAGATTCTCGTCGAAGTCCATACAGATCGTAGGGGGTCGTTGGTCGAGATTGACATTCTCCACGCCGCTTAGTGCTTCAGCAGTGCTACGTGAAATACTGATGTACTCCGAAGCCTCCTCCTCCCTAGGTAACCTCTGCAAAAGTGCCAGGGCGAAAGCAAAGTTAGTTTCTGATACGAAAAAAGGAGTGATGAGGGTAACTTGAATCACTGAAAATATTGACTGGAGCTAATCTTACCACAGCTGGTTTAGCACTATTAAATTCTCCATAGACCTAATTAGAAATACTTACAAATATCGTGACTGACTCCTGTAATTTTGTTTCCGGAAACTTCTCAAGCTGACCCAACGATCGTCCTTCCTAAGAAATGAGGAATTTTCTTCCAAGAGGAATTATGCTGTCCTCCAAGGATCTAGAAAGTTTGAACTTAGATTTTCCTAAGTACATACCTGTTCATTAGTATGACGTTCAGGAAGCTGAAAGCTTAGAAGCTCGTGAAAGAGGCAGCCATAATAAAACTGGCTTGAGATGGCAGTGCGGCCATATGTAACATCCCCTGCCTTGGCAAGCGCATTCAAAAGGGTCCGATTCTCTGACATGACGAAGGCAACCTCGAGGTCTGAATAAACCTGCAAACCATCCGAACCTCAGGGATATGAGAATTAAAACAAAGCATGTTATGACTGGATAGTGTAGTCCGTGCAATCCATAGATTAGGATACGTTCGCTACATTTCCATTCAATCCTAAGATCATCAAAAGTAACCAAATTATTCTAAGTTATATATATATATATATATATTGTTTCTTGACACAACTGAGCAATACCCGTCGCACAAATTGGTGAGGGGAGCAAATGAACAAAACTGCCTAGGCTCCAATACCTCGTACCAAGGCGGACCCAGGAGTGGAAGCTATGGTACAACGAAACCAAGTTTTGAACACCTGCTTTAAAGAAAGACAGTAAATAGATTGCAACCAGCTGAAATTCAAATGGCCGATAATGAATAACTAGAAAAAAGTGAGCTTGACCAATTTTAGGAGACGGATCACTAGTTGACCTATTTTCAACTTGGTTCTCTTGTGCTAATACCTTTGAATTACATTGGGTATGGCATTAATACAAGAGAATTCAACCAAGTTTTTATCCCCCTACCAGTGAGTAACAAAGATAAGCCCCACATTCACCTGGTTTTTTAACAGGCCGCAGATGACGGTGGCATGCAAAGGCATTGGATGAGATGATAGGTACTGCAGAACTCCGTTTGTCCCTGGTAAACTTGAAAGCTCCAAGTACTCCGACATATCCAAAATCAGGCGTGCTCCTATGCTGGCAGTGGCATTTAGAAGCAGCTCAAATGCAGTGGATGTCCGCATCTCATAATCCGCTAGACTTGTGACAACTATCTGAGGTTTCAGATTCTTCAGCAGCTGCACCACTAAGTCGGACCGACGAGGCGCTTCCACAACCGTCACGCTATTGTTGGATTTAGAACTCCCAATTGAATTTGTACCCTACAGAAGCCAATTTATCACCAAAAAACTGATGCACGAAAAAGGAGAACTTGCTATGAAGTATCAAAGTGTGCTATTTTCAATGTTCACATCAAGTCATGCATCTTGAAAGAGAAGGCTCCAGACATTTGGTTATGAGAAAGTATGAACTATATTCATGATGTTATTCAGCCATTTCTACAATTACATTTATGGCCTATATACAATTCAAGTGACGGTCACAAGGCGCACAAAATATCTAACATCATCAATGAAATATTACAAGCTAAAAAAGAGAAAGAAAACAAAGATGGTTGTCCGAAGTGTGGATTGATGATTACGTAAGCAAAAAAGACAACTATTAGTTATTACGGATGGAGAAGGGCAGTACAATATGAGCCTGAGCAGGAAGCGCAGTGATCCATTTCTTGGGCAACCAACGTGTGAGAGCAGCATCCACCAGTGCTAATCGAGGTGAGTATAGGCGAAGTATATTCTCTATCGCCACAGCTCTTGAGGGGAGGATCACAACACTCTGCAAAATAAAGCAAATTTGCACAATTTAATCGATAGTACAGGACTGTTCTTAGCTTTATCTGGTTAAATGCTACTGGCCAGAAAAAATGACAGATCGTGCAACTCAAGAAATTTAAAAGCGTGACATTGACATGGAATCCAACACAACTAAAAGTGAAATTCTTTTCCCTACCACGTCTGAAACCGAGGGTTAAGCTCCTCAAAAGAGCTCAGTGTACGATGACAAGTGCACTCTAATTTTGAAAAGCGCATCACATATCATTACTAGATGTGTTGCCTCACCGCTGGAGTTAGTGGAATATGATGGTAGATCCTCATGAAACCTGCTATCAGATTTCTAAACCGACAACTTCCAGCCGGGGACTCGTGTGGGAAATACGAGAGATCCTCTAGTCCACGTGCAAGATGCGCCAGGAAAGGTATTTTCTCTTCGGCTACTGCTTCATCTTTAAATGAGAGGTCTAGGGCTCCTCGAGTGTCATGAAATCCATTGTTCAAAAATTTCGATATTGTCTTGACCTGTAATAGGCATATAATTGTCACGTCGCCCACCAAGAATTAATGATGTTACTCTAAAAATCAGAATGAAGATTACATACTTCCATAAGCACCTTCTGAGCCTCAGTCTCCATGTCCGACTACGTTAACAACAGCAAGCGAATGTAATGATTCACATCAGGACTGGTTGGATTGAAGTTGGATTTGATTGCAAACCTGGTTAGGCATCCTAAGTCTGCACTCATAAACCGACAGTCCGTGAGAAATCTCGCCTCCTGACTTCAAAAATGCCCATGCTGTTCTTGCGCTTATGGGCTCCTCACTCACACGTCCCATGAAAAACTCGAACCGATGTCGTGTGTTTTTCTCAATTTCCACTAGCGCTAATATATCAGTATCTGCTGCCTGGGAACAGACGAATGATAATGACGTCAAATAAAATCTTACAAACCCCACCATCTAATTCTGAACTTCACAACACAGACATTCATTAAGAGCCACCAATGTCGATCGACCACCAAGTGAAACTCCTCATTGAAAAGTCGTCATATAGACCAAAAACGTGAAAACATTCAAGAGAAGTCCAACCTGATTCACTCTAGTTTGCCACAATTTTTTGATATGAAACCCACGTCTGCTGAATAACCGCTCGGTCACAGCTTGGCCAGGCCGGCCTCCAATATTGAATATGAGCTTTCCAGTCGGTCTAATGATTGAAATACCCTCCTCTGTAGCCCTTGCAACCAAACCTAACCCAAACTGATCCTCAACAAATCCCTGCCAACGACAACCCAAACATAAATTATGATACAGCAATGCGGCCACTCCTTTACGCCAATTTCATCGACCTTGCAAGAAGTAGTTGATTACAGCAGAATTGATTGCTGAGTCCAGTATTATCAATGTAGAATATCTGCACGATTGTCTTGCGTCCAAGAAACATACACGGAAGGTTGAACTATTCAAGGCAAAAGAATGGCACCCTACCTTGACGATCTTGCGTAAACAGCATTTTAAATGTACGGCAAAATTGGTAAAGTTTATTTCGCTGAATAATACAAACAAGTAATGCAGCTCAAATGATCAGAGCACTCATGATTGATGTGAACTACATAAAGATTCCAAAGTGCATTGTGAGATCTCATGTAAACTTACCTGAAGACCACAATAATTACTGAGAGAATATAAGAACTCTTCGCTAGCATTTTCGCTCACGAGCTTCGACATAGCTGTTGGATCGGGATTAAGAATCTACAAGCAAGAGTCACCACAATCACCTCAATAGCAGATATAGTTACACATAAAATGGTATTAAAGTAGCACCCAATTCATAGTAAGCCAGAACATAAGCACTGAGCTCCATCTGCCATTCAACCAACCCCTACCTGTGGTATACAACCAACGATGAGATCCATTGTCAAATTCTGCTCCCTGCAGTACGCAAGCAGATCTGAAACATGAAATTCAACTCTATCCAGCAACGATTTTCCCTCGTGATCGAGTACAGACAAACCATCATCGCTTAGTGCATTCAAATAGAGGTTGACCCACGCCACCTTGATTGCCCTCGGGTTGATGTCAAGCCCAATGACCTGAAATCCTTCCCCCAATCACCCACCATGAATTTACCACTTCTCAAAACTCACAAGAGCTGCGAATCAAACAACCGAACAAGGCGATCACTCACTTCTGATTGGGTACCTAACCCATTCTTTAATTTAACCCAGCATCTACATTGAAGAATGCAGAAAAGCAACTGCAGACCCGGCAGCTCATGCAACAGCCATGAAGATTTTCAGTCTTGTAAAGCTTGCCTTTCGGGGCAACCATCGTTCCGCCATCGCAATGGACACCCATCCATTGCCGCAACCCAGTTCTGTAACATCCCGATCCCTAAATCCAGTATCTGGATGTCTGCTAATACCTTCAAAGAAGGTGAAGGACCAATCCTCTGGAATGAAAATACTTGGTAATTCCAATAACTTCAGGCTTTGCCTATTCTCTCTAAAACCTGTTCATTAAACAAAACAGAGAAGGAGAGAGCAAAAAGTGAGTTCAAGAATATGGAGAAGCCAATGTAAGGACGCAACCTTTGTATACCTCTTGTGTTGAGGATAATCTGTGTGATTCTACAACTAATGGCAGTATGACCCAAAACCTTTTAATCATAGTGTAAATTCATGCAGAGGGACAGACGAGAGAGCGCTCAAAATAAATAAAAAGAAAGAAAAAGAAGAAGAAGAAGAAGAAGAAGAAGAGCATTAACACTTTGATTCATGCCTGCAGAAGGCGATTAGTATCTTAATCTGCTACAACAATCCGCAAACGAAGCTAAATACACCAAAAAGAGTGGACAGGAGCATAACATCAGGTACCTTCGTAATTGCCACATTATTCTTTAAGATCCTGATTACTATTGCTCTTCGATTAACAATGGCGACCCTTGAATGAGAGCACAACATGGTGCATTGACTTTATATCACCGTCACTTCTTACACAACTGCTGATCAGGATATTGAGCATGGAGTTGAGCAATTCAGGGCCAGATGATGGAGCCATTATCTTATCAGACACCAGATCTTCAGAAGTAAAAGGAGCGCGTATGATTACTGAAGACGATGCAAACATAGAGGACAGCAGGACACACCTTCGTAATCAGTGAGGGAGAGGTCATGGAACCGAAAATGGTACAGAGACATGCTATCCACCCCAGGTTCTTGTTTCTGCACGTATTTCTCCACTGCAGTGAGAAGCTTTCTCGCGTCCACACGCGTGTCCACGTTGTGTAACCTCTCTAACACACCCTTGATGGCATTGTAAGCACTGTCCCCTGAAACCTTGCATTGCTCCAGAAACACCTTCACCTCAGCTTCGATTGATGTCGTCATATCAATATTTCAAAACCTTTTCTGCCTTCAATCCGTTCTAACCCTCACAAATAATTCTCAACTTTGCTCCACCATCTTTTGAGTTGAAATCGACTAGACTTGATAATCACTGGAATGGTCAGCAACCTCAATACAGTTCCTGGAGTTAATCTTTAAATCTACATTAAAATTCCAACACACCCATGATAAGATTAGTGGCCACGATCTTCAGTGATGATATCAGAGATAGGTAGCATGCCCATAGTTTTTGCTTTCTGGCATAAACAATGCAATCCAAAAATGTAAATTCATACTTCAGTAATTGGATGGGATCTGTCAGTCTTCTCTCTTTAAAAAAAACAGAAAGAATGCAACATTGACAGGGATCCTCAATCCACAATTTTCTAAAATCCAGAGCTTTCTAAATCCAAACATCCCAGTTCGAACGAGTCATCTCATTTACTGCCTTCTAAGACTTCCAGAATTTCTTCTACCATAACGCTCAAAGATCGTGTATGACCCACCTGTGAGCTGCCAGATGGCGCTTCTCCAAGAACAAAAAAAATCCACGTGCGGCCAATGCAAACTACAATCTCGATCCTACAGTTGAACTTGTGTCAACACACACGCACATACACACACCAGCAAACAAACGAAAAGACAAGGAGAGTATGCAACTCACTCACTGAAATCGCCGAAGCAGAGCCAGGTACTGGGACGACGAACACCCACCATATCCAAGGTTAGCGGGCGCCCAATCACTCCCGCACATGCCCACGAGACTAACGCCTGGTCAACACGACAACCGAATCCACGCACAAGACCGAAAAGCAGCTTCCTAGAAACGGTACCCATCGCTTGCTCCAAACCTCCAGCACATGGTCGAAATCAAGGAATGATGCGACAAAAAGAGGCACTGTAATCATGTGTCGATGCGCGGCGATCGCATCCGATCTGCCCCCTACCTCTCTCCGCAAGAAAACAACAACACCCTTGCGGGTCAGACAGAGTGTGGAATTTCAAGGAAGCGGCGCCGTGCGACGAGTCGCTAAATTAGATTCGCAAGTGCCAGAATTCCTCCGGATCCAGCGATGAGCCCAGCCAGCGAAGAGAAACATGGGCCGACTGTCGGGAAGACTTTCGCCTCCCTTGGGGAGAGCGGGGGAAATATCATCGTCGCCCCCGCCGTCACCGTCGGTACTCACGCCGTCTAACCGCCGTTGCCTCCGTCGACGTCGCTTCTCCTTCATCCTAGCGTTGAAATTGACCATCCAGTCTGGTAGAGAAATGCCCCTAGCTTCTTTGGAGACCTAATCTCTTACAATGTTGTAAGGGTTAATGTTGTAAGGGTTATTGTCCATCTTGTCAATTATGTACACACTCCAAACCTAAAGCATATTTGTAGTATATAATGCCAAAATAGGTTTAATAGCCTTGTTGGTATCCTCAATTGTTGGTTTGGAGACATTTCAAGTAATTTGGTGAACTGAGATTAGTAAAATTAATTCTGCTTATGTACCAAAAAATAATTACTTGGGTACTTCCAACTATCCAAAGGAGAAAAGATCAAGCTACACTTGTAATGACAATCAAACTATGTAATAAATGGATTATTACCTCTAATTATAATAATCCAACTAATATTGTCTATATGGTACCAAAAAATATGATTTGTCAGCCATTTATTCAACCTTATTTCTATAATACACCTATAAATATAAATTAAGCACAATTTGAAATAGAATTATATTGGAAATCTTTGACAATATATCATCTATTGATAAAGATTAGAAAAGAAAAAAACAAACAAACAAACAAACAAAAATTCAAAAATCCAAATTGATTTTTTCTTTTCAACAATAATATATAAAATTTGAAAGTAAAAATCAAAACCATTTCTATACTCAAGCACTAAATATTCATAAGTTACAATTCACATTCATCTATCTAATAGTCATGTCTTACCATACTTTAACATTATTATTTGTCATTGACATACATATTTATTTAATTTAGAAAAATAAATAGAAGTAAGTAAATTTGATAATATCTTAAAGAAAATCTTCTTAGAGGTTTTATAGATGTGGTTTTGACTTTATATATGTTTGTATGTGATTGATAGGTTAAAACTTAGCTAACAAGTTGGCTACATGTTGCATGTATTAGTGACTTGTAGTACAAGTAAGCCATCTTACATACATGTAGGAAACTTGTCTTATAAGTTAAATACATATCTCATAACTTTGACATGTATTAAAGGTCCTATAGAATATTGTCTTAAAGCTCTTTGTTAAATAATATATATAAAAGCAAAAATAATACATTTTTTTTTAATTCTTAGTCTGATTTCAAGAATCTTTGGTCTTCTTTTTTTTGGCAATATCCATTTTAATCTTAATATTATATAAATTATAAGTTATTAATTTATTCTTTTCAAGTCACACAAGAGTATATTTATTATTTGGTTTTTTTTTATTTATGTCTTTGTGTCACAGACATACATATTTATTCTAATATTTATCTATATGATTAAATAGAAATATTTAAAATTAGATTTATTTCTTACTATTTTCTAAAAAAGCTTCTTAGAAGCTTCATAGATGTTGCTTTGATTTTACATGTGTTTGTAGTTGATTGGTAAGTTAAAAACTTGGTCAACAAGTTAACCACATATTAGTAGCTTGGAGAATAATGTAATTATGTGGCATATATATAGAAAACTTGCCTTACAAGTTAAGATATGTGTCTTGCAAAGTCAACACATTTTGGAGGTCTTATAAAATATTGTCATGTAGCTCTTAATTAAGAATATATATGGAGGCAAGAGTGAAGCCTTCTTTTTTCTTGTAAACGCCTTTCTAGTCTTTAGTCTTCTTTCAAGACCTTTTAGTCATCTTCTCTTTAGCAGTAGCTATTCTAATTTAATACCATATGATCTTTGAGAGACTTTCTAGTTCCTTTAAGTGATACAAGAGTTTACTAAAGATTTCTTTCTTTGAGATTCATATCCTTGATAGTTTGACAAGAGTATTAACTTATTATTTTTATCTTGTTTTAGAAGTAAGTGGATTATTCTACTTCTATTGTTATGTTTTGAAGAATGCAAACTATCCACCTTTAAACAAATAATCTTATTTTTTAACACTGATTTTTTTCTTAAATAGAGTAGATTATCTTTTTTTATAGAAATTATTATTTAATATTAGTTGTAGATTACTATCTTTTAATTTAGCTTTTGAATTTGTTTGACTTATCTATGGAAGAAAAGATTATGGATGCTACTCTCAACAGAAGTGAGAATAGATTTACAACTAATGTAGATCTTCATGAGCTTGTCAATATTTTAAGAGTCAAAATCTCACGTATTTCTAATGCAAATTATAGAAGTACTATTCCTATGCCTATGAAAGAAGTTTAGAGTTTGCATCAAGAAGTTGTGCAATTGAAGGAAGCAAGTAGATCAACCTCACAATAAAATTCAAGAAGTTTTACTTCTATAAATATAACAAGGACAAGGATTAGTATGCGTGAGAAGTTTGATAGAATAAGATCAAAATTTTGAAGATTTTTGCAATAAGTCAAGTTCTATCTAGGATTCCATTCCTTCAAATACTTTCATGGATTTACTCAAGTTGGATTCATAGGCACACTTTTACCAAAAAGTGCTCTCTCTTGATTTGCACCTTTAATAAAAAATGATTTGTAACTTCTTTATGATTTGAATTCATTCTTAAAAGTATTTATGATAACATTTGAAAAAATTGATGGAAAAAGAGTAGCAAAGACCAAGCTTTTATTTTTATGGCAAGGATCATAGTCAACCACCATATATGCTGCTGAATTCCAAAACCTCGCTTGTAATATGGACTAAAATGACAAAGCCCTTATTAATCAATTTTGATATGGATTGAAGGATAATGTCAAGTATTTCTTATTGACAATATCAAAGGCAAAATCTTTGGAACAATTTATTGCTCAAGCTATTGCATGTGATAATCAATTATTTAATAGATATTATGAACAAAGATTTGGCTAAAGAGGAATAAGTCAAATAATGACGACAACTCCCAAGCTTTCAAAAACTTATTTATCAAGGCCAAAATCAATGCAAATTAATACAATACATTTTAAATCCCTGACAAAGTAAAAAAAGACTCGATAATGTGAAGAGGGCTTATGTTGTAGAGAAGCTAAATACATTGCTCAACATTGTTCAAGAAAACAATGCAACCACAAAATAAAAAGCATAGTTGTCAAAAAAGACAATATGTTGAAAAACAAATTTTTTTAGCTACAAAAAAGACCATGCAATTAGAATCTTACATAATTCCTAATAAAGGTTCTATTTTTTGTTCAAACTTCTCACCTTGTTTTACAATAGAAGTTTATTTAGGACCAAAAAATCACAAAGTTTTAGCTTTGTTAGATTCAAGAGCTTCAACCTATTTTATGGATAAAATTTTTTTCAAAAAATAAGAATTATTATTAATCAAGAAAACTAAACCTGTATATGTTGAAATCATAGATGGTTGTTTGCTATCTTTTGGAGATGTTATGCATAAGACTATTCCTTTAGATGTTGCAATTAAAGATCATGTAGTATAAAAATATTCAATGTAATAAGATCTCCATTCAATTTGATTATTTTAAGATTATCTTGATTAAAATATATAATCCTTGGATAGATTAGATTTCTTGTAATTTTAATTATTCTCGTAGTTTAATCCAAAATCTTATTAGTAAAGTAGAAATACATAAGTCTAGTATATCCAAATACTTACTAATAGGTGCAAGAGCTTTCATGTATGTTGCAAAAGAAAGGTCATCTTTTGCTATATATGCCACATCCATTTTTGATGATTAAAAGATGACAAGTAATATTCTTAATTAATATCTAGATTTCCAAAACTTTTTTGAAAAGAAGGTTGTAGAAATTCTTCTAGAGCATCATCCTTATGATTGTTCCATTGATCTTCAAGAAGAAGCTCAACCCAATGTAGACCAATCTATAGCCTATCACAAAAAAATTGGCTGCATTGAAAGAATACATTAATGAAAATTTGGCTAAAAATTTCATATGCCATTTTAAATCTTTAATCGGAGCTCCTATTTTATTTGTAAAGAAAAAAGACAGATCTCTACAAATATATGTGGACTATCAAAGATTCTATAAGATCACCATTAAAAATAGGTATCTTCTATCTTGATTTTAAGACTTTTTGATCAACTCAATCAAGCAAAGATCTATACAAAAATAGATCTACAAAGAGCATATAATCTAGTATGCATTAAAAAAAGAGATGAATAAAAAATAACATTTTGAATTAAATATGGACATTTTGAATATAATATCATGCCTTTTATATTCAAAAATATACTAGTTTCTTTTTAATATTTAATTAATAATAACTTTTAAAAGTTTCTTGATGATTTTATTATTTTTTATTTAGAAAACATCTTAATTTACTCTAAGAACATAAAAGAATATGAAGTTTATATTTGCCATGTGTCATAAAAACTTAAAAATGTAGGATTATATGCCAAATTGAAAAAATATGTATTCTACACTATTCAAGTTAACTTCCCTCAATACATTGTTTCCAACAAAGGATTAATGATGGATCTAAAGAAGATTCAAAGCATCATGAATTAAAATATTTCAAAAACAATAAGAAATGTGTAATGCTTTTTGGACTTTGCCAATTACTATCAAAACTTTATTAAGAATTTTTCTCAAGTTGTAGCTCCACTTATATATTTGACTTGTAAAGACAAACTTGAATAGAATAAAGAAGTTGAAGTATTGTTTGATACTTTAAAAAAATAATTTACTTTTGTACCAATCTTACATTGTGTTGACTTTTCTAAGGCATTTTTCATGGAAATAAATGCATCAGATTTTGTCTTAAGTATAGTATTGTCACAAATGAGAGCATATGAGAAATTCCATCTAATAGCTTTCTATTCTAAAATATTTTCAACAGTTGAAATAAATTATGAAATCCATGAAAAAGACTTTCTTACAATAGTAGATTCATTTCAAGAATGGTATCATTATCTAGAAGGCGCCTTGAATCCAATCACTATATATATAAATCACAAGAATTTTAAGTATTTC